TCATGTTGTGATTCTGATGCTGATTGCCAAGGCGGTTGTGGTTTGCTGGATCGTCTACGCAGTCCAAAAGAGTCGCGAATCGGCCGAGTTTGCAAACCAGTACGAGGCCGCAACCTCCAAGATCATTGAAAGCTACGAAGGCATTGTTCACAAGATGGGCGCCATTGGTGGTCTGGGAGTGCAGCTCACCTCGCAAAGTGTCGAGGAGGGCACTCCTTTCCCCTTCGTCTCGCTACCACACTTTCACTTACGCGCGCAGAATGCAAAAGATCTTTCTGGTGCACTCGCGGTTACCATTAATCCTGTAGTACATGCCCATCAATTCCAAAAGTGGGATGAGTTTGTCAACGACCCACACAATAATGCATGGATGTAAGTATACCGGTACCATACAGCCCGACACCAATCAGCATGACCATACCGTACCGTACCCTTGTCACTAACTCAGCGACACCACGCCTCTATCCTCTCTTTTACCGGTAGCAAGGAGATCTCTGACTACCAGGACGCATTGGGCATTAATCAGTTTGGAGATGATACGTACGATCAGCAACGAAGAATCGTTTCCAATCGAACGGTTGATGTCATGCGCTACTTTAATGCATCAAGTATGCCCGTCCCAGAAGATGGCCTCTCAGAGAGCTACTATCTTCCCCAGTGGCAAGGCAGTCCCTTGGCACACAATGGCAACCGTGTCAACGTCAACTCACTACGCCAACCCCAACTTCGTGACGCGTCCTTTTGGATTTTGCAGCACAAGACGGCCTTTGTCGGCTCCTTTCTGGTCGGCAAACCAGGTACCATATCGAATCCACATCCAGTGACGTCGCTCTTGGCCTTTCTCATGAGTGCCAAACAAATGAAAGAAGGTAAGAACTGGAGTTGATCAATGGATGTCTGCTGGATGCTGATGGCTTCCCTGCCTCACCAATGCGGTTGCAATCCAACTTTGTCTCCGTATTGCGTGTCATCTCTGTTCAAGTATCCTACGAGGGCGATCCCTTATCACCAGTGCACTTCCCCATCTTTGACAGCTTTCAAATGAGTAGTCGCAGAGTCGTGGCCATGATGTCAGTCTACATCCATTGGGCATCCTACCTCCAGAACATACTTCCTTCCATCAGTAACTGCAGTCTCTATGTTGTCCTTGAAAACTCGTGTCAAGGACCTGCTAGTCCGCGCCAGTTCACTTACATTGTACAGGCGAAGTCGAGACACATTCCTCGTTTCGTTTCTGGTAATCTCGTTCGTATGATGGGTAGTGGGAACTGATGTCGAAGTTTCCCCGTTGCTGCTTTGCTCGACGTCGTCATTGTCATTCCCGCCGACCCTCGACGAGGAGTAGCTCGACGAGCTCCCGTCGTTGATTTGGGCATCTTCGTTCTCGACTTTACCAGTAGCCACCATCATGATTGTCTTTTGGTTCTTCGAATGGGATCAAGAGAGTATCAAGAGCAAAAAATAAGCAAAAACGGCAAGCTAGCGTGATCAAAGCAGTCTCCTGCGCCTTACTTGATCATCTCCAGTGAAGTGATGCCGACATGCCGATACTAGTACCGTCATAGAATTGCGTACCAGTAGAACATGGGGAAAATGTGGTTGTTTTGTGAATGCCTGAATTACCAGGGAAACTCGGGAAACCTCCTTCAATCAGCATTGATACAAGAGACATCGTTACCAGCCACAACATTTCTGCAACTCCCGGAAAAGCTGATTGAGCTGGCGAGAGGCTTCCGCCAGCTCTTCCGTCTCTCGAGTTACGAGTATCACTCGGTAACTCAGTAAGAATGTAGAGTGTGAGGTACTGGCTAGCCATCATCGAGAAGAGGGATGACCTGGAGAAAAGGAGGAGAAAAGGGGTGAAAGGCAGTGATCTGATTCGTCGATGAGTACCGAAGAACAACAAATACGTCAGGAAGTATTCAAAAATATATAACGTACCGTTCTAAGTATTTACAGGGGAAACTGTGCTACCAAGTGCGAATTTTCGTGTTTCTGTTTTCGGAAGAAGAGGATTCCTCCGTTCGTTCGATCGACGATCGACAATGACAACAACCACCGGAGAGCCACTCGACAGTCATTATCTTGGCCAAAAAAGCGAGTAGCAGCAGCAAACCATCATCATGGATAACACAACAACAACAGCAGCAGCTACCACAACTGGCGCTGCCACAACAGCCACAGGAATGGGATGCCAAAGCCAGAATAGGAACTCGCAACAGAAGAGAGCATATCACGCCTCCAACAACAACAGCAGATCCAAGAGAGCGAGAGAAGAAGGACCGCAAACAACACTGGGAGGAGTGGTAGCAGAAGTCTTTGATCCACTCAAGAACTGTGTCATCTGTAAGGCCAGACATCTTGGTCTCAGAGTCCCAAAGAGATCTCACTCTGTCTTCTGTATTAAGAATACAATAACAAAAGGACAAGGACCTTTGAATGCGCTGACAATGGAGACAATCAAAGAAAGCAGGAGACTCACAAGGCAATTCAGTGCTCCTCTTCCACTCAATGAGAGAGGAAGCTGGAGGCATTCGACAAGAGAAAATGGAGAAGCATTCTTTGCTGCTAGAACAAACACAGCCAAGGCCACAACCAAACCAAGTCCACAAAAGCACAAGGAAATTGCAACTCCAGCTGTGTTCTGCGAGAAAGTCACCGCTCTTGTAGAGGATGCCACCTTTGTGGAGAAGCACAAGACCAAAATAGCTCCCCTGGCAATGATAGCTATGGCAGAAGCAGTGTCTGAGTCGATCACCAGATCCAAGAACAAGGAGCTTTTCAATCAACACTTCGAAGGACTCACCATGACAGTCCCAGCCACAAAGGATCAATTCGAGTCTCCTCACTACCACTCCATTGTTGGGCAGAAACTCCTTCTAGTGGACTGGAATCGATGTGGAATTACAGTTCCTTGTCCTGATGGTACATGCTCTGGCATACTCAAGAATGATAGAAGCCATTGGTCCAGGAACAAGACTCTGCATCCAATCTTTGGCATTGCTGGACCTCCATCTTGGTGCATGGTCATGTCCATGGTCTGTAGCTGCTGCAAGAGGAGATTTGATTCCAACCAAGCTGAGGTATTGGTGTCAATCCCAGAGCATGCTTCCATGCTGTACCCAGTAGAGCCAAAGTATGCCTTTCCCAAAACAGACTATCACTTGGAGAGGACTGCAACTGAGGTGTTTGATACCATCATGGTTACATATGGCAATGGAGACCTATGCAGCAGACTCATGTACAATGCAGTGAACAGAGAGTATATCAAAGCAATGATGTCCTACTATTCTTACTGGCAAGGTAATGAAAGGGAGCCTCCTCCCTTCCTTCCAAAGGATGGAACTTACATCAGACAGTATCCTCCTCTTGGTGACACCATCCGTGACTACTTTGATAGGGCTGCTGCATCCAACAGGAACCCATGGAGGATCAGTGACAATGCCAGGCACACAAGGGAGATCCAAAGTGTCAGCTGCAACAAGGGAATCTTCTGCCAAGACCACACTTTCCAGCCAGTCAAAAACTACATGAGGAAGGAAACTGGAGGAGCCCTTGCTGTCTGGGATGCTGCCACTGAAACTGGAGAGATTGCCTCTGCTGTTCTTGTTCCCACCACCAAGACAATCCACTTCTCTCATGCTGCCATGCAGCTAGCAAGAAGACCCAACTTCAATCCAGCTGTCATGTATAGTGACACCTGGCCCAACAAGGATGACTACTGGGAGCAACTCTTTCCAGGTATCGAGGGAAGACTTGGCCTGTTCCATTATGAGAAGAGAATACTGTCAACTTTGAGAAAGGGACATATTGACTATTTCGAAGCTTTGAATGCTCTCTTGGATTGCCTCTATGAGTACTTACCAGAAGACTTTGAGAAGGTTCTCTATGCTTTGAAACATGGCCTCTTGTCCTCCAATGGCAAGCACTATTCCATGGTGGAGATCTCAGACATGCAATCATCCAAGGTCTTCCGTGACAGATACTCCAAGTACCTAAGGAAGAAGATGAGGTCACCAGAGACTATGAGACAGAGACTACAGCAGTGGTTCTGCAGGTACAAGGTGACAGCCAGTGAGGGCAGCCAACCTGGCCAAGGAAGACTGGATCCTGTCAAGAAATTTACCTTGTTCACTCCAGACACCAAGCCAGCAGTAGACAACTGCATTGAGAAGCCATTCACTTGTCTGATCCACTACCAATGGAGCAAATGTATGACACAATCCAACCATCTCCCAACTCCAAGCACAAGCTTCCAGAGTACCTATCAAGGAGAGGAGAGTCAAAGTTAGAGGCATTCCATGACAAGTTTGCCCATTTTGGCAATGGTGGAATGAGAAGGAGCCTTGCTGATGCTCTCAACCTTGCTGGCACTGCTAGATACAACCTCAAGATTCGCCACAAGAGAGCCTTCCTGTCAAGAATCAGCGAGGCAGAAAGGAGGTCAATTCCAGCTGGATGGGAGAAGGTTGTTCCCTACTGGAACCACTCTGAGCTTGCTTACCTGAATGAGATGGCAGAGGCTGTTGGTCTGGAAAGCATTTCCAAATGCAGAGCCTTGCCAAAGGACACTGGAGAGCGATTCTTCTCAGAGTTCATTGTTGCATTCAAGCCACAGAGACAAAGGTATGCTCCTGCACTAATAAGCTAAAAGCTAGTGTAAGATTTTCGAGTGTTTTTTGAGTTTGAGAGAATGAAGTTATGAGAGAGATTAGAAAGCTATGAAAACTAATCAACGAGAGAGATCATCATCAAAGGATCGTAGATCTGGCTTCCGCGGGAGACTATAAAGTGTGATAGAGTAGGTTGTGGTAGTATCCTACGTCTCTCCACGTCCTAAAACGGAACGCGTGAAGGTTTGTCTAGCCTGGATCTAGTAGCGTGGAAGTACTCCACGCTGGACAATATCTAGAGCGATGTTTCTTCATCAAACCTAGTATGACTAGCCGGGTCATTGAGAACCCTGTCTCGATGATTATTCACGAAGACTCATTAATGAGTCGAACTCAACCCAATCTAGGAGTCTGCGAATAAGCTAAGAGCTGTGTATTGAATTCGCCCCTGACAAGGGTCACAGAAGGCGCGACAGCATTCGGACAAGGAGAACATATGATTTAAAGTGCGGGGCACTCTCATGAGATTTGATGTAGAACTGTGCGTCGCACGATGGCAATCCTACAAGGGGATCAGGCCTTGTATGGGTTTATATACTTATGTTCCAAGTCTGGTAGACTGGTCCGCCGTTGGCGTAGCATGTTGGAGCCGTACAGTGCATTTGTCTTGACTCGGTCTATAGTGTAAGACTTTGTACTTTGCTGACGTACTTGCGGTGCTGATACTGTTGAAAACTCACAGTATCGTTGACATGTATTGATGAGGGACACCATGCGCGTTTTCCCTATCGTTTTTTGTTGGATTAGTGTTGGGACGTTCCTTAATGTACTTCAGTTGGCTTCGAACCGGACGTTGTGAATCGCGTCACGATTGAACACGGGCTGTGCGGGCGTTGCAGAAGGTGGTATGAATCGTGGCATTCATTGCAAAGCGAACCGCCGTGAGGACTCCATCCCAGGATCCATTCAGAGGTCGTCTTGCACTTAATGTTTTGAACAGCGATCAAGTTACGTATGTTTTGATGAGCACGCTCACCATGAGTTGGCTTGAGGGTTACGCGTGGTGATGAACTTGCGACGAAGTCCATATTCATCCCGGAGTGTCTTTTCGACCTCTGCGCGAACTCACGTCCTCTATCCATGATAACCTCAGCAGGCCTGGATACCGAGTAAGCCACGTTTGTTCTAGGACGATGGCTATTCGTCTGCTGCCTTGGAGCAAATCTCTGCAATCTCGAACCATCCGGTTACGGGATCAATCATTGTCAAGCAATGATGTGTGCAGGAATTCTTTTTCTTGGGATCCCCGAGTTGTAAGGACCTATCAGGTAAATACATAGTCTTTCCAAGGGATCTCCTCGCAAGTCTTGGAGGCATCAATCCCAGCTTACGCGTCTTGGGTTTGTTCATCTGGCAGCTTTTGGCAACGCTGACATACGGTCTGCACAGTCCTGCGCAGCCCTTTCCAGGTGTAGTGTTGGCTGATGGTAGTTCATGTGCGAGTCTGCCAGGATGCATCAGCCAACCATGGTACCATTCAACTAGCTCTTCTGCATAGTATTTAGGTACGGCGATTTTCTCGTCCTTGACTACTAAGTCGTAGGATTATCCCCTCTGGGGAAAGATTGCTTCTTGTAGTCGTTTGGCTTGTCTGAGGAGCTTCTTGATATCGTTGTCGTCTTCCTGACGATGTTCGATCTCGGGAAACGAGAGAGGGAACTCGCTGAGGGAAGTCCTCTTCGTCTGCAGCATGAGTCAGCGATCTCGCTGGCGTCCATCTGTTCTGAAGAACCGTCGTTGTTGAGGATGTTAAGTCTCGAAAACCATCAGCGACGATG